GTGCCCACCTTAAGTATTTTATCACTATTTTCCTGAGATATGCTAGATGGATAATGCTCAAATTTAATATGTAAGTCTCCTTAGTCCATTGTACATGGTCAGTTTTGGGACTGATACAAATGTGGGTGACAGGCAGATATCTTGGATCTTGACAGTGAGTTTTTGTTATTAATATTTCTTGAAAAGTACTGAATCAATCAAGTTTATTTGTATGTTCTACTTGGTCTCTATAGCTAGGCTAGTTGCATGTTGTCCATTTTGTAACTTTGACCAACCATCTTGGATTTGACAGTTAAACGATTGTTACTGCAATAACTGAGGTGTATTCTCAAATTTCATATAATTACAAACATGTAAGAGGAAAAAAACAGCCAATGGTAGGCTCCAAGATCCCTCTCTGATCCCTAAACTTCTCAACAGAAAATGTTTGGAGATTGGTCAGGGATAAAGATTCCATCCATCTTCTTAAGGAAGTGAGACTTGGATCTAGGACATCGGCGTTGGTTACCTTAACATATGGTTCAAAACAACTGCATTACAAAGACATTATAAGAATGATTGCTTGGCAGTTTGTTTTGTATGAAGATTAACCTAAATCTCTAATAGAAACAAGCTGCAGAGTAATGAAAGTGATTCTAGACGGGATGAGGCATGGGTAACACTGCCATTCTATTATTCCACATCTATTTAACATTTTCTTTCTGCCACACTTTTATTGGACATCAAATATAGATTTTGTATCAGCCACACTTTTTTTGACATCAGTTTTAGATTTAGTTACTTCCATACTATCATTCCAAGCAAGTATTCTTTCATTCAATATCAATATTAGGTTACCGTAAGTCACTTTCATACATCGTTCCACACCAGTATTCTTTTATTCAACATCAGTTTTAGATTTTGTTACTGAAGTTGACTCCAACATCTATGAACACATTTCTTTTTTCCAGTAGATTTCTTACTACTTTGTTGTATAGTTAGCTACACATGCCATATCTCAGCTTGATCCGTATCTTGCTAGCTTGCACCGTATCAGTCCTGATCATGTCATATCTGCCCTGCATACAGCATATCCACTCCACTACTGACCTCTTCCCGATTCATCAGTCAGATTTATCAAGTTTGACATTTTAATACGGAATTTGTTAATCATGCGGACATTGATAGTACATGTTAGCATTCAGGATATCATTGTAACCTGTAAGCACATTACTATTGATATGCAGTATTTCAAAAAAACATGTTTTCTTTGTGGTTTCATTCACTGTAAATATACATTTCAGCGGTAATCTTTTTACGGACCTTTTCTTGCTTAAAGTACCACTAAATGATTCACTTTCATGGTAATTTATTTTCATTAATTTTATGTGTATTCTTAATCCACAATGATTATATATGTTATATAGGACTAGGAGTTAAAACACTTTATCTTAGTATTGTGGATGTCAGGAGTATTACTTATCATCCACAAAATCAAGTGTGAACATTTGGGACAACACTTCTAAATTTGAACCCTAGGTGATACATTATTTAAAGCATTACAATAAACAAGAGGCACACTGGACCTGTATTACTCACCTTGATCTTAAAGCCCAGCAATGTTATACATGCCTATAGGTTGGGTATTCCAAATATTTCTAAATCAAAGCTTGGTCACTTGACCTCTTTGATAGGGGAAGACCAATGGGTAAATTCTTATATCATTACTCTTTCTCTTTTGATTCACAGTAAGAGTTAACATGGTTATTGTGTTGGTATCTCAACTTTATCATAATCATGACCCATAAATGAATTTCCTTGAGGTGTGCCACATCCAAGGATCACTTCTTACATAATAAATGTGTTTGCCTCTTAATGTCAAGCAATTTGAGATATATATAAGGTTATATAGGTTGGGGATTTCAACTGTTTCAAAGATATCACCCAGAAATTAAGTCCAGAGGCCTAACATTGCTATATATGGTTATGGGGTGGGGATCTAGACTGTTTTCAAATACATTTTCTCTATTACGTCCCTCCCCTCCTGCCTATCGGGGCCGAGATCCATCATTTATACAACACTGTTTCCTTTCACCAAAACATGTTTCCATCATTTCTATAGGAGGAGTAGGATTTTAAAAAATTTGCTCTATATCCCCTAATGGTCCCATCCTTCGCTCCCCCAGACGGCAGGACTAATTGTTTATATATAATTGATTCCTCTCCACCTAAACATGATTCTGACCAATTTCGGACAAAATCCAATCTTTCCTACAGGAGTAGAATTTTAAATAATTTGCTCTATTTCTTCTATTGGGCCCCATCCCTTCCTCCCTAGAGGGCTGAGATTCACCATTTATGTAAAATATATTTCCCGTTCCCCTAAAGATGCTTCTGATCAATTTTGGGCAAAACTTCATCTTTCTTAAAGGAGAAGTAGGATTTTAAAGACCTAGCAAAATTCCACCATTTGCCCCCCTCCCTCCACCTTCAGGCCCTAGGGGGCCAGTACACACCATACACACACCATCCCTTCAGGCAAGGTGAGCTAAAAGTGATTGTGCTAACTGAAGTTTCCCTATGAAGTTTATATAGCAATTGCTTTGGTTTGGCAAATTCATCATTGCCCTGATTTTCCCAAAATTGATCTTATGCTGAAATTTGATTGTGCCAAAAAAAAAGGTATGTTTACAATATATAAATGTTACAGACAACAATCTTGTTTCCAGTTAGTTTTAGATTTTGTTTACACAGATTATCTGTAAAACGGAAATGCAACCTTAACACCAAAAATCTTTTAAACAAACATGTAACTGTATTAAAATAAAAAAAAAACAAAACCCGGTATCTTAAATAACCAACATCATCACTAGAATATTTCTATTGAAGGGTAACTGGGGTCTTCTATCAAGAATTATACAATAGTGAATTCTCTTGATGACTTTTAGAATCATGGCAGGAAAAACGTGATAGTCCTGTAACAGATATAGTAACAGCTGAAATAAACAGTGACACTGCATGTGAAAAAGTCCAGATGCATGAACAAACCTGATAGGCTTGATGGCTCTGCTACAAAAAAACTCCAAACCTATAACATGGAGTATTGCATTAGGTTTGGAGTTGAAATACTGTTGTGCTCTGCTTACAAAGATTAAAGAGACAGTATATGCAATATTATAGCTGGGTATGTGTTAAAATTACTAGGTAGAGAGTATTGTTTTTTTCTTATGTATATTAAAACAAAAACAAGAGGTTCAGTTGGCCTGTACTGCATTGGATATTCAAGCAATAATGCCAAAATGATCATTGTGTGCCTATAATCCTTGCCGATGTATATTACAAATGAGATACAGTGTGTCATTATATAGTAAAAGATCATTCTAAATACACCGGTTTTCAAGAAAAGATGTTCGATCTTTACCAAATCTGGCCCTTATGAACTTGAAAGTAATGAGTTTGTGAAAATTCCTTGAAAACAGGTCAAGATATTTATATGAACAAACTATAAAGCACTTAATCCCAGATATAGACTAGCCAAAACAGTATCCTGGATATTATGAGACTTATAAGGAAGATTGCAAGATTTAAAGCATGGAAGATTTAAACATATTTGATAACTGTGACCTTATAACAAGAGGTCAAGGGGGCCAGTATCCCTCACTTGGATAACTTAGCCATAAATGCAAAACTTTTCATTTCTTTAGAAGGAAAATACTTCCCCTGATGTGCCTCAACTCACAGATAGAGCTTCAAATTCCCTAGGGGTGGGGACAGAGATCAATTGTTATCTCTTGATGTCAAGCAATTCTATTAAATTTTGGAATGGTAATATCAATGTCTTCAATGATATAATCTGCCCTAGGATGGGACCAGACCCCAGTTATGATTGTGTTTATCTCCTGATGCTCAGCAATGCTATAGTTATTCAGTCGGGATCAAAACTGCTTCAAAGAACCAAAGATCTGAATGAAATGTTAATGGTGCAAAGTGGACAATATTCTGTAACGCCTTAATAACATGATAGATTTTAAAGAAATTCATAGATTTTCCTTGTTAAGCCCTCCCCCTCTGACCAAATCTGGACATTATCCTGCAATTCCTGAAGAACAAGATAGATTTCAAAAAATTGACAGATTTTCAATATTGGGCCCCACCTCTTTACTCCCAGAGGACTGAGACCTATGATTTATAAAAAAAAACTGATTTTCCTTCACCCAAGCATCTTTCAGACCAACTTTGGACAATATCCTGTAATTCCTAAAAATACAAGACAGATTTTAAAGAAATGATCGAGCCAGGTGGAAATTGGTCAATGTCATTTATATGACAAAACTTTATTGTGCTCCATCACGGGTACCTACAAGCCAAATATCAGTACCATATGCATGGATCTTATGACACTGAATATTAAACCTTTTATCCGATGCCTTAAAAAATTGGTCAGTGTAATCTCTACGACGAAACTTTATAGCTCACCATAGCATGTACCTACTGGCAAAATATCAAAATTCTTGGTCTTATGAAACTTAAGAAGAACAATTTTTAAATTTCAAAAATATAGGATATATGCGATCTTTAAAGTAGGTCAAGGTATATATATGAGGAAACTTTATTTTGCTCCACCCAAGATACATCCTACAAAATATCAGTAATTCTTTGCTCATAGATTTTGAGGTGAAGTTAAAAGCAGGCAGATAATGAGATTGTGCACTTAACCATAACCTCAATTATTTCATGTGTCATGTGAACCGAAAAAAAGAGGACATTTTGGCATAGAAATGTGCAGAGAAGGTGAGACATTATATGGAAATAACGTCACTAGAGCCCTGTAATGATTTAATGAAACAGTGTGTAATTCACTAATTTACTTCAGTATGGGCATGTGATTAAAAAGTTATGCAGAATTAAAATGCAACACTTCTGAAGGAATATTAGGGAGACTTTATTTCTTGGCAGGTAGGGACATTGTATTTTTAAATAGTCAACACAAACACAACAAACCCATTCTTTGAAAGCCCAGTAATACTGTACTGTACATAAATACAACACAAGATGGTCAAAAACAAAGCAAATGCTGATAGAGCTCTACCAGGTGTTTTCCAGTTGTGCATCGGGTAGACCTGTGATCAAATGCATGTAAAACTTGGCTCCATATTCTGTGGTCAGCTAGCTGACTACACACCTACAAGTTGATCAAATACATGTAAAACTTGGCTCCATATTCTGTGGTCAGCTAGTTGACTACACACCTACAAGTTGATCAAATACATGTAAAACTTGGCTCCATATTCTGTGGTCAGCTAACTATACATGTTGCATATTCCCACTACAAACAGACCCAGCTGGTTGTCCCACCCATACATGATCAAGAAAGTATTGTAATAATTGAACAAGTAAATGACCAGGTGTGTTATATCACATTCCTCATTACAGATGTACATTTATTGTTAAGACCTAATCAGTGTCTCCAGGCATTCAACATCCAGTTTTAACATCTGATGGTCATTCACACTGTCCCATACCAGATCCGCTGACCCTTGGTCGGTCTCTTCAGTATCCGATGACCTGTAACATCCCAAAAGATACACAATAGTAATAGATTAGAAATGTTTTACATATGATAAGTGGTCTTTAAACACTGGTCAAGCGTCTGGAAACATTGGTCACTCATAAACGATGGATATATACATTGATCAAACCATGTTATAAACCACAGAATATCACAACACAGATATACCAGTCAAAGAAATCACATGTTTTATAAAATAGTGACTTGTTTAAGTCCCAATAAAATTCATTACACAACATTCACAGGTCTCTTTACAGTACATAGTATCATATGTACATCCTAGTCTTGCACAAGTCCTTGTATAGGTAGAAGCAAATATAAAGTTATTGTCACTGAAGTGAAATACTTTGCACTGTATTTATAGTTACAGTATCATTGTATCTAATTACTTATTCACTGATTCTCCAGCTAGAACAGCACTTAACTTCCTGCAGCAAACTGATATAAGCGACTGATAAATGTGCCAGATTCTTCTGTTTGTATACCAATCCATTACCACAAATCTGATACCCTAGCTAGAAATCTTTTGTGTTGTTAACAGGTAAAACATACAAAATCATTATCCTGACTCATTCACATCTATGACTTTTGATGTATTTGTTATTTTTGCATATGCCTTCAATAACCAAAAAAGACCATGATGGTACTGTACAACGGCTGATTTCATTGCAAGGAAATTCCATCCTTTGATGTCAAATCCAGAATGTCTAATTGTTGAGTCGTGATTTTGCTATTGAAGGACAGAAACTAATATTACATCATATTACTTTCTCTGTTTCATGCTTGCTATGCAAACTTTTGGTGAAAATTAACAAGAATATTTGAAGCTAATAGGAAAAAAAATAGGATACCTTATATTCTAGTATATTAGTATGTGTACATCATTACTTTTCCCTAATTTAACAGAACAATTTCACCTGACACTACTAAATCTGACAAAGACCTTCAAGAAATACAACAATTTAAGCTAACAGCAAAATACTCTGTATCTATTGAATTCTTGAATATCATTGACAAAAAAAAAAGAACAGAAAAGAAAACTTTGGAAAAACAAAATGTTATTTTTCCTGACATAGTTTCTTATTCCAGCTTTCTTTACTATCATTTCATGGAACAAGGTTTATGCCGTCTCATAACGGTAATTTCTTAGTTTTTTAAGAAAAAGGCCTCTTGAGTAATAACATCAATCTTTTTCGTTTTTTTATGTAGTTCCTAAATACATATCATATACAATAATATACAATATAAAAAACAATTATTGAATCAATGTCAAGTATCTGGTTCTGTTTTAATTGGACACTTAATTATACAATGGGACCAATTATCCCTAGTCACATAAGATACGTATGTTTGAAGAGAAGTGATCCTATCCTACAGTCTGTTAACTTGTATAAGACCATGGAATTACTGTGTTATGTATGGTTTAGATATCTCATCGTCATCACATTACTTTCAAACAATTATTCTTAAACAGGCCTGAATCTCTACCCCTGGTGTATTAATGATGATCACATACAAACCTTTATCTAGATTTACATTCAGCAAGTGACCTAGAATATAGAGAGATCTTATTATACCCCATACAAATCTATATATAGAGTCTTTAACTATCTAATTACCATAGTATGGCTGGTTGTAGAGAACAATCAGGAAGTAAAAAACCACCTGCATTATGTTATATATAACAAGGGAACGTAAATACCATTCCTATCAAGGCATTTCTGTTTTATATCAAAATAAATATACGGTACAAATCTTACATTTTCTACCACATATATGAAGGGACTCTATCATTCAATAACCCTGATTGCCAATACAATTAACAGTATTACAATATGATGACATGTAGTGAGACAATAAAATCCTACTGTTAAACATTGCTGTGTTACCTTACTGTAGACTGATATATCCAGTGTATTGACAACTGGTTTAATCAACCTATTTTTGATGAGAGTTCAACATTAAAAAGAAGTTGTTTTACCAGGTAAGATGAACGAGATAGATTCTAGACAACTCACAGATCATAAACTTGTATAGAACTAGATAGGAGCAATGTAATCCTACAGTAAACATAACAAAGAAATAAAATGAACACATCATACATACAGTGAATGATGCGTTACTTTTCAGAAAATCAACACAGCATGAAAATATTCAATTTAAAATTCTGACTTTAAGAGAGTGTATGAGACATGGGAGAATGAAACATGCCTTAAGGAATCTTATATATACAGCATGATAACATGATATACACTTACATACTTGATCAATGACAATGTGGATATAGATCTCCCAAACACATGAAGGGGTAAATGTTCTTCAATTAAGATGTAAAAAAACTTTTGAATTTCTTTACAAAATCAGATAACAGATTTAATTATCAGTAAGTTTATGATTCAAACACAATCACTAGCGAGTAGACAGAGACAAGGAAAAAACACTGGTTTTAATTTGATATTTAGGTGATTATGTTAGTGATCGCCAACTTTGTAAGGTTTTATCATGCTGACAGATCTACAGGCAAAACAGCCTAATGAAGGTTGTAACGATCAGGTGTTACAGATTAATAGGTCAGATCATACCTGCAGACTACTCATGTGTAAATCTCTGTAACATCTTCACTCTATATAACCTCCAGTTATCACACTTTTACTGGCTAATGTTCGGTAAACTACCAGAGATTTCCTATATATTTGTCTCTAATCTCTCTTGGCACATTAATACTATCAGAATCATAACTCTTTCAACAAGTTTCAAATGTCAATAAGAGAAAATTCTGATAAAATCATGCACCACCAATACATTTACTGATCACTACAAAGAATATGTCTATTAGGAATCACTGAGAAAATATATGATAGTTAGGGATCCTATTACAAAGATACATGAAATGTATGTTGTATATAAAACTACAGGAAAACAAACCTAAATCACAGCTCATCAATAACTCTCATCACAAACTAGTACATTATGTATTCAAATTAAGTGTTGGAATTTGCTAGCTGATATTTTTGTGTTATATAGTAAGGGTACTGCATTGACTATGAGTGACCAGGCACTATATCTCAAACAGTAAAGCGTCAGTGTAGAGGTCAGAGGTCAGAGGTCCAAGGTGCAAAGCCTGGTCTGTGTTCAGGATATTGATTTATTTTCCTGCTACAACATCACACCATATCAGATATAATATTACCACATATAAACTGATACATTAAGTACACACAAACTGATCTGCATGTAGTACTATACCAAAACCTTGCATTGCTCATCAACCACCCAACTGATTAACAAGTGACGACATCCTCCTGGACGTTACGATAACAGAAACAGGACTTACACACATCATTTTCACATGTGAAACAACATTCTTAACTTACTTATACAAACAACTCCATTATAGCCCCAATGATTGAGTGTCAATGCTCTTTCTTTCTGCTAATGTGTAGCTTCCTTCTTGATTTTTCATAAGTAGCCTTTACAACCATTCATAGTATGATAGTTCAAGTAACCTTTACAATGTCCTCATTCAAGTTCTTCGGCCACTTATACGTAATAGTCTTGTAAATTTTGAACTACTAATATCTTGGTAACCTTGAGCAATATCTTTAAATCTAACCTTTCCTACCACTTAAGGTTCTAATTTCCAGATAACCTTAACCAATATGTCCCTGTCTAACCTCTCCTACCACTTAAGGTTCTAATTTCCAGATAACCTTAACCACTATGTCCCTGTCTAACCTCTCCTACCACTTAAGGTACTAATTTACAGATAACCTTAACCACTATGTCCCTGTCTAACCTCTCCTACCACTTAAGGTTCTAATTTACAGATAACCTTAACCAATATGTCCCTGTCTAACCTCTCCTACCACTTAAGGTTCTAATTTCCAGATAACCTTAACCACTATGTCCCTGTCTAACCTCTCCTACCACTTAAGGTACTAATTTCCAGATAACCTTAACCACTATGTCCCTGTCTAACCTCTCCTACCACTTAAGGTTCTAATTTCCAGATAACCTTAACCAATATGTCCCTGTCTAACCTCTCCTACCACTTAAGGTACTAATTTACAGATAACCTTAACCACTATGTCCCTGTCTAACCTCTCCTACCACTTAAGGTTCTAATTTACAGATAACCTTAACCACTATGTCCCTGTCTAACCTCTCCTACCACTTAAGGTACTAATTTACAGATAACCTTAACCACTATGTCCCTGTCTAACCTCTCCTACCACTTAAGGTACTAATTTACAGATAACCTTAACCACTATGTCCCTGTCTAACCTCTCCTACCACTTAAGGTTCTAATTTACAGATAACCTTAACCACTATGTCCCTGTCTAACCTCTCCTACCACTTAAGGTTCTAATTTACAGATAACCTTAACCAATATGTCCCTGTCTAACCTTTCCTACCACTTAAGGTTCTAATTTACAGATAACCTTAACCACTATGTCCCTGTCTAACCTCTCCTACCACTTAAGGTACTAATTTCCAGATAACCTTAACCACTATGTCCCTGTCTAACCTCTCCTACCACTTAAGGTTCTAATTTACAGATAACCTTAACCACTATGTCCCTGTCTAACCTCTCCTACCACTTAAGGTACTAATTTACAGATAACCTTAACCACTATGTCCCTGTCTAACCTCTCCTACCACTTAAGGTACTAATTTACAGATAACCTTAACCACTATGTCCCTGTCTAACCTCTCCTACCACTTAAGGTACTAATTTCCAGATAACCTTAACCACTATGTCCCTGTCTAACCTCTCCTACCACTTAAGGTTCTAATTTACAGATAACCTTAACCACTATGTCCCTGTCTAACCTCTCCTACCACTTAAGGTACTAATTTACAGATAACCTTAACCACTATGTCCCTGTCTAACCTCTCCTACCACTTAAGGTTCTAATTTCCAGATAACCTTAACCAATATGTCCCTGTCTAACCTCTCCTACCACTTAAGGTTCTAATTTACAGATAACCTTAA